TCCTATATGTACTTTACTGCTTGCTAGTGAAATTCCTCTTTGCCTATTTCTCGTTTTCGCCTAGCCTGTTTAACACATTCCGCTCTGAGCGGCGGAAGGTATGTGCGGAATTAGATTACGAATGGCGGAACGAGAGTAGTGACGGACGGAATGCGAGCAGGCCGCGCGTCAAGCGTGTAGTTAGCGCGGATGAACATTGAATAGGGCTGACCCTAAGTCGGGATGGGCAAAAATACTGTTAGGGATGGGTTTAATAGGGTTAGAGTTGAGCGGAATAATGTTGGGGATGGGTTGTTGAATGATAAAGATGGGCGGCATGATATCAGGGACGGGCGGAATAATGCGGAATGGGAGTAGTAATGGCACAATGAGAGGAACAAGGGCACAAAGAGGGTAGGAAGGGGGGAATGCGAGGGAGGTGATTGGATATTCAAGGGGAAGAGGGAGCCAGGGAGGAAGGGGAGTGATGGGGATGGGGAAAGGGGGTGCAGTCTGAGAAAGAAGGGACGTGTCGTCCCTCATGAAAGGGAGGTGAGTGCGTGGGGGCGGTGAAGAGGTGGCCAGAGGGGGAAAGGGGAGTGAAGGAGGGGAAAAGGAGGTGCTGTCAGAGGGGGAAGGAAGATGGGGTCCCTCACGAAAGGGAGGTGAGTGCATGGGGGCGGTGAAGAGGCGGCCAGAGGGGGAAAGTGGTGTGATAGGAGGGGGAAAGGAGGTGCTGTAAGAGGGGGAAGGGATGTGGGGTCCTTCACGAAAGGGAGGTGAGTACACGGAGGAGGGGAAGAGGCGGCCAGAGATGAAAGGGGTGTGATAGGAGGGGGAGAGGAGGTGCTGTCCGAGGGGGAAGGGAGATGGGGTCCCTCATGAGGTGGGTGAGGTCAGAGGGATTAGAGCGAAGAGGATGCATAGTGAGTTTGAATGGTGGTGATGTCATAGGGGGAGGGAGGTGAGGTCACAGCTAAGGAGGTGGAAGGGTTAGTAGGGGAGGGCCCTTGTGCCGTGCTAAGCCATGCCTGCTCTCTTCCCAACCTAAACACCCAACCATCACTACCTCTCTCCCGCCCTATGTCCCATGCTGCAGGCTGACTGAAGATGTATCGCTGGGATTATCGACGGCGTCGTTGGGTGCGGTTAGGGTTTAGGATGGGAATTGAAGGAGAAGAGGATGACGATGAGGCTATGGAGGGACAGGCGGGGACAACCTTCTCTGACCCATCCCGAACGGCAGGGAACAGCAATGGTGTGCCTGGTCGCTTAGTGGTTGCTAGCAGTTGGTGGCCCGTTCAAAGGGTGAACCGGCGTAGGGTGGTACAGCCAACTGGGATGCCGCCACAACTTTTCTATGCCAAGGAACGCTGGTCCCTTTCAGGGTTTGCCATCGAATTTCCAAAGCAAAGCCAAGTGCTTGAACAGGGGGCCATGAAAGAGCTCGGTTTAGGGCAGGAGATTGGTGATACGGACGACGCCGTTACAGTTATGAGTGTCCTGCGTATATGACTTGGAAAGAACACCAGAGAGGATGCAGATGGACGTCCAATAGTAGCTAAAAATCACCGCTTCCGTTGCTACATCGAGTACTCCAAATTGTTGGGGGACCACCCATTTGCCCACGTTATATTGCCATGGCTGGTGTACGTTGTCATAGGGTCACTTTATCTGGAACTTTGTGATGGAGGTTATGTGGGGTGTAGCCAGACCGATGTAGATTGGTTCCCGTCTTGGACAATCCCCGACGAGATCGACTTCACCATGAAGAGCCCAGATGTGAGCGTGGCGGAAACGACCATGGTTGAGATACAAGAGTCGCGAGTTGAGTGAATATACATGTTGTAATCACTGTGTTTGTATATGCTCCCCCTCACGTTTACTTGACAATGAACCACCCGCTCGAATATAAACTCGGTGTATTCACACATGCTTATCCCGCTATACCCAATATGCTCAACAATGCTGTTATGCCATCAGTTTGGTCAGGTGTAGGCTATTGAAACGTAGAAAGTTATATTCTAAGAGGTGTCAAACAAATATTGGCACAAAATCAACACATTAAAAGCTAACAAAGCATGCTCGCTGTGGTGCGTAGCCTCTGCAATGCTCACCCCCATGATATATAGCGTAACACCTCGCACTCTTCCCAAAAAGGGGAAATGTAGCGCCACAAGGCCGCATGTCAAAGTTTGTAGATTTTGGAATTATAACTAGCTTGGCAAGTTGTTAGAAGTTGTAAAACATCAACCGTACATGGAGCCGTATTTCTCCAGTGCCACCTCTCCTACCCTCCTCCCCTCCATGCCGTGTTCTGCTACCCAACATTCCGCTGCCGCCATACGTCACCTGCCTATATCTTTGTGGTATCCACACTCTGCAACCGGGTGGGAGTTGATGACCGTGGGGAAAGGGGGGAGATGGCGAAGGGGGAAGGTATGGTGATGACATAGGGGGATGATAGGGGATGGAAGGGGGGTCGGAAAGTGACCGAAAGGGCGTGTGGAGAAAGTGTAGTATGGGATGAAAAGGTGATGGCGGAGGGGGGGTGAGTGGGGTTGGGAGAGGGGAACGGGCCGTGACGGCACTAGGGTGGGGGGGGGGGGGGGGGGGGGGGGGGGGGGGGCGTCAAGGCATTTGGTGGCGGACAGGAATGTGATCATGGGTGGTAATAAATTGTATGGTGATGGCTGGGAGAGAAAATGGGATATGGAAAAGCGCGATGACAAGAGATGGCAACGAGAGATGAGAAGAGGTGTCAATGGCGGATGAGAAGAGATGACAAAGTTGTTCCCACGTGATTGCAATGGGAGGTGGGACGTGAGTGCCATGAGAAATGAATGTGGTGGTAAGAGGGGGTGCGAGGAGGTGCCTAAGGGGGAGGAGCAGTGCTGGAAGATGTGGGCGGGAGGGTGAGTCAGCGTGGAAAGGAGGAGCTGGCCAAGCGGGAGGGAAGGTGATGCATGAGGGGGAAAGGAGGGCATGGAAGGGAGATTAAGATGATTAGGGTTGAATATATGAATGGTGATGGCTGGGAGAGAGTAGAAGATATGGGAGGTGATGGCAACGGGAGATAACCGCGGGGGATGAGAGGAGGTGACAGCAGGGGAAGAAAGATGATAGAAGAGGACGCGGGAGGTGAGGTCAGCGGTGGTGATGGTGATGGTGATGGTGATGGTGATGGGGGAGGGGAAGGGGATGGTGATGGCATCGGGTGATGAGACGAGATGGACCGGGGCACGAGATAACAATTTTCGATTATATGATTGCCACTGACTGGTTGAGAAGAGAGGACTTTGGAGGTAATGGCAAAATTATATGAATGATGATAGCTAGAAGGGGTGAGATGATATGGCACACGGGGATGAGAGTTGATGGGAAGGGTATGAGGGGTGATGGCAATGGCAAAAGAACGGGGATGACAAGGGGGGATGAGATGAGGTGGCAAAGGGGGATGAGTGGTAAAGGGGCATGAGGTGATGGCATGGGGTTGTGATAGGGGAGGGAAGGTGGAAGAAGATAATGATTGGTAGTTATATGCATGGTGATGGCTGGGGGACAAGAGAGGATGTGCCAGGTGATCACAATAGGACCTAAATGACACTAAACATTATTTCCTAATAGTGAGATAATGACAACGGGAGATGGGGGGTGATGGTAGGGGGGGTTCCTAAAGAGAAGGAAGCACCAAGGCAGCTTTAGCGTGGAGTTTGAAAGACTTACTAATCGGGTTTTTATTGCCAAGTTGGGTGATGCCTGATTGAGGTTAGGTTCCCAGGTCATGCGTGAAGTCCACAAATCTGTCCAAGAGAAAGAATGTTAGTAACGGGATACCATACATAGGATACTCCTTTGAACAAAAAGAGACTCTATCGCAAGACATATGTCCATACCGCGGGGGAATTTTGCGTTGTCTTTTGCACGGAGCCCGATCGTCCCGTGCAATGACTTCATGCTTGCGGCGATTGGGACGAGTCGCCTGAATTGGGGACGGTATAATCACAGACCACAGATATCAAACATCATCTTACGCAACACAAAGATGTAGCTATGCATTCGTAAAAAAAAGACAAAACCATGGTCTTGACATGCCCCAACAAAGAAAAGCGGTAGCGTCCGCTGGACTCTACTAAGGCGCGCGTTCCTGCGGTTCCGACGTCGTGTACGTGCCCCCGAAGCGGAATCACGCATGCTTGTAGGGCTCGTGAACATGTATGCATCGGATGTTGGGGTCAGCGGTGAGAATGGCGTGCGCGCTTGAGCGCAACGGCCGGCGTAGGATGGCGTTGAGGGAAGTCGAATGAAAGTGGAGCTAAGGGGAGGCGCATCGTTTTCGTCCCCTAGGTGCGCTTCCAACCTCACCGCAGCCTCCACTACTTTGTCGGGAACCACCTCGACTCCTACCACGTCCTCTTCGCCCCCCCCACCCCGTCCTCCACCTCGTCCTCCACCTCGTCCTCCACCTCGTCCTCCACCTCCTCCCCCACATTCACTTCCCCTCCCCCCTGCTTTTCGGATCCAATGCTCCCTGCTTTTCTCCCGCACTCCCTTATCTTTTCCCATCTCTCTAAGACCTCATCCACCCAACGCCAATCCATTGGGCCGAGCACCCTATATTTCATCCTACGACGCACTCGTGTTACCTTGCGTACGCGTGTTCGCAACTCCCTGACAACTCTCTCCACCGCGTGATTCCAATGAAGCACACTCAAAGCCACCCGAGCCTCCATACTGCCAAGAAATGCAATACGTTTCCGCGCGTACTTCGTAATCAACGAGTGAAATGACTCGTTCAACCAGTTTGATGCCCCCAAAACGTATGCGGCCATGGGACCTGGGCCACAATTGACCGACAACCACTTCTTGAACGCCAAGTGAGTCGCCGAACCTGGTTCATACAGCGCACTCTCCTTCCCCCACCGTTCCCTAACACAACGTGGGACCACGCCATCTCGCTCACAACCAGTGTGCATGCCTGCCCAATGATCTCCACACCCTCCGATCTCATCTGCCACTTCCTAAGGAGTCATTGGGTGGCATGCTTCTGCCTTGGTTACAGCGCGCATCATGCAATGGTGGAAATGAATGCAGAATCGCTGACCAACAGACACATCCACCTCTACACCCTCCGCGTCATCACCGCTACACCCCTCATCAGCACGTTTCCGCTTTCCAGTATTTCTCTCCTGCCACCTCGGGGTACGACTCACAACAGCATTCCCAGCCACTCCAGGCTCCCCCGCCACTCCAGGCTCCCCCGCCACTCCAGGCTCCCCCGCCACTCCAGGCTCCCCCGCCACTCCAGGCTCCCCTGCCACTCCTAACTCCACCACCACTCCACCCTCGCCAGGAGTTAGAGGCTCGCCCGCCACTCCAGACTCCCCCGCCACTCCATGCTCCCCGGCCACTCTAGCTCGACAGCCACTCTAGGCTCCCCCGCCACTCCAGGCTCCCCTGCCACTCCGGGCTCCCCCGCCGCTCCAGGCTTCCCCGCCACCCTAGGCTCCCCCACCGCTCCACCCTCGCCCGCCACTCCAGACTCCCCCGCCATTCCAGTCTTCCCCGCCACTACAGGCGCCTCTGTCTGCTGATCTCGTCCCATCTCTAGACCCGACTCCATTTTGCCTAAATGTGCCGAGGAAAATGTGTAACACATCGGGGACGAATGATATTACATCAGCGGAAACCATACTTTCATAAATTTGGGATAGATCCTCACCACGGGTCATATTGTCGATGTCATCAGGGTGGAACATAGACTCGGCCGACTCCATGATGAAATCGTGGGTGATGTCGTCCCGGTCGAGGTGTGTGGGTTAAAGTCAAACGGTGTATCAAAGTCAAACGGTGTATCAAAGTCGACCCACTTGATCTCTAGAATCCGAGAGAACTCGTCTGCTACATCACTCGAAGCATCCACATTAGGTGGTGATGAATCGACGTTGCCGTTATCTCCCCCCCCCCCCCCCCCCCCCCCCACCCCCCTTATGCTCATGCTGCACTTCCATCCCCTTCTCTTGCTCCAAGCCCCTTCGCCGCTTGGCCGGTGGTTCAACCGGCTTCGCCCTCACTTTCAGCACCTTCCACATCTCCAAGAATGACTATTTCTGAGCAACCTTTGCGGATTCATCAAACCGAATCCTCCCCAACTTCGCACACACATGACCGATCAGTATTTTTTAGCAGACCACGAACTCACACCTTTCCTTGCACCCCCGTTTAGCTTCAGCCACTCCTACAACTCCTTCTATGGAACCAACCACAGCTCTGAACATGACTTGGCCTTTTCAGCTTTCATAGTAACCACTTGTGCCTCCGCAAAATCTTTCACAAATAGCCTCGTCAATGCTCGACCTTTGTGCCAAACGTCCATCTGATGGTTGATACCCGTACCAACTAACTCCTTCTTGAAAGACGCTCCATCGTCGCTTATGATCCCGGTCACATTGAACCCCCACTCCTTCAATTTCTTCAAACCTAGCTTGAATGCAACCCTTACTAACTCTGTCGATGACTTTCCCGCATCCTTTTTACATACCGTGACTGTCAACAAAATTTTCTGTGACTGTGGATCCATGAAACTGACAGTGCACCACTGCGTCTCTCAAGCCTGGGACCAACTCCCATCGACAGAAATGTACCCATCTCCATGTTTGCGCAGCTGCATGTCCCGTCGAGCTCTAGCCATGCTCTCCTCGCCATGGACGATGATAGCCTCCCACAAAACGTACGGCCGTCGCATGTAACGATAGAAGGTCTCCCAACCGATAGACTTAGGGCGTGTAACCATTTCTATTTTTAGCGTTTTTACGGATTGTCCGTGAAATTTAAAACGGACGGTCCAAAGTCGAGAAGAGAACCGTTCGTATTGACGTTTCGCAACTTTGGCCCGTCCGAATGGAAATGTGAAACTTCTTTCGTGTTGTACAGTTTTGCGATCACTGAAGCTTTGTTTAGGACTCCGTATCAGCGTAATTTCCTCCATCACATCTCGCAGTTAATCTTTGTAAGCCAATCAGTCGAGGTACTGTACATTTTATTTCGTCCGCCAATCTATGGTCAAGATTCTTGGACCGTCCGTTTGGGTTTCAGATGGTCCACGGTTCTCATTTTTGACCGTTGCAAAGAGGAAAAAGTGTCGCAACGGTTCAATTTGTTAACGACGTCGTACAAGCCTTCACGAACGCACTAGCGACATTGGGCGCAAACGGTATCCCTTCGTCGACCCGGGCGGTCCACGGTTCGAACCGTCGGGGACAAAATGCTTACACGCCCTTAAACCCAAGTGTCCGACTAACCTCTGAAACCTGCTGGAAGCCTATTCCCGCCGTAAAAAATGCCCCCAAGAACCGCGGGAAGAGCAAGGAGGTCTTTGGGCCCTGTTTGCCTAAACCCATTGTGACTTTGCCCCTTTCAGTAGACCAAAACTGTATAGTCCTGCCACACGTATCACAGACCCACAAGACTCCCAACGTCGCCCACGCCATCTTTCACGATCGAACGACCAAAGAACCCTTACATGCGGTCGCTAGACAGCAGACCACTCCCAGACCCATGAATAATTGAAGCAATGCGATGGGATTTAACAGACATACCACCCCTTTGAGGCTAGTTGCGGTAGCGTTGGCCGACAGAGGCCAAGAACGAGCGAGGGCTTTGAGAGGGGTGCTCCAGCACGTCCCGCCTGTAAGCTGTGATCGGGTCGAAGGGTAAATGCGGGAATAGATGGTGAGTTGTGTATCGGTCAGGCCTTCTTTTATTGAGTGCTTACCAAATAGATGATATTGCTAGCATCGTCCAACTCACAACGCAGGAGAGCTTAGGAACGACGCCACATTTTCCGCTAATCTACCCACAAACACTAACCCATCAAGATTGGGTCGAATTGCAGTAGTAGAGGCAACTGCCCCATCGCTCGGGCGCTCGGGCTCGGATGCAATTCCAGCTACATCACCCTCGTCTTGTCCATCAACAATGGGGCCATCCCCCTCTAAAAGCTCTGTCCCCTCTTCCACATGCCCCACATTGTCCGAAGGGGCACACTCCTCCACGAGAGTCTCACATCCCACGGGTGGAGTTTCCATAACGGGTGATTCTCCGTTCCCACTCACATCGTGCTCTCCTCTTGCAGCTGCTGTTTTTTGGGCATACGAGACATAGAGGGATGTGGGCACACATGTATAACTGGATATAGAATAATACTATACAACTTGACCAGGGAAAATGGGTGCAGGGAGACGTGCCACAAGTCAGTCAGCAGGTAGGTGAGCCAGCGTAGCTCCTGGGCCGCCATGGCTGTGGCGTAGATCTCAGCCTCACAACTGGAACTGAGAACAGAAGAAGAGCGTGTAGAACGCCAAGAAACTGAACCAGAGCCAAGACTGAAGGTGTAACCCTGAGACGACCGCTGAGTAGCCTGGTCGTCCGCCCAAGAAGCGTCTGAGTGCCCAGTGAGTACAACTCGGTCTCGCCCTCCAAGCACTAGCCCCATGCCCGACGTGCTGCACAAGTAGCGCAACACCCTCTTAGCTGCATCCATGTGCTCCTTCCGGTGACGGCCGGGAGCGACATAGCGTGCAAGGATGCTAAGAGGGTATGCAAGGTCAGGTCGAGTGCAGGTCATCAGGTACATGAGGCAGCCCACAAGCTCTGGATATGGGCCACTCGGCTCTACGGACTCATCCGAAGGCAGAGCTGAGAGCGAGTGACCGGTAGGCAGAGGAGTGGACTGAGGCGAGGAGTACGTGAAGCGGAAGCGCTGAAGGACCTGCTGCACCATGTGTGACTGGGTCAAGGTGATGGTGCGCCGTGCTCTGTCCCGGGTGATCCGCAAGCCAAGATAGCTTGTCAGTTCACCCAGGTCTGTGCACGTGTGTCTCTTCTGCAGCTCCGACTTCACGTAGGCGAGTCCTGCAGTGTCAGCAGTGGCAAAGACCAAGTCGTCGACGTACACGAGGATGTAGAACGGCGGCAGCGAAGTGTCGGTGCGTAGAAACAGTGACGGGTCAGCAGTAGAAGGAGCAAACCCAAGAGCCGCAAGTGTCGTCCTCAGTGTGTCGTGCCACTCACGTGGCGCCTGGCGGAGACCGTAGACCGGCCGCCGGAGGCTCCACTAGGTACCAGGAGGAAACGACCCAGTGAAGCCAGGAGGGCGGCGCAGCCAGATCTCCTCGTGCAGACTGCCCTGCAAGAAAGCAGTGCTGAAGTCAAGTGAGTGAAGCTCGTAGTCGCGCTGAGCGGCTATGTGCAGTAGCACCCGAAGAGTGGTCATCTTCGGGGTGGGGGAGAAGGTCTGGAAGAAGTCGACTCCCTCACGCTGACTGAAGCCTCGAGCAACGTAGCGCGCCTTGAAGACAGGAGGAGAACCCGGCGGCCGCTTCACCCTGAAAATCCACATGCCACTGACGATGTTCGCCCCAGGTGGGGGAACCTCGTCGATGTAGGTGCCTGTGGACTTCCAGGATGCCATCTCTGCGTCCATGGCTGTCTGCCACTGAGAGGAGTAGGGACCCGCCATCGCCTCTGCGTAAGAGCGCGGAGTCGGGATGTCTGGTGCATCCAGGTCTCCCTCAGGGGCAACTAGCATGGACACGAGATGGGGCAAAGCAGCAGCAAAGCACTGGAACTCCTCCTATCTGTCCTTAAGGACGTCCGTGCTAAGAGCACACTCACCCCCGACGGACGGAGGACAGACAGACCCAGACTCAGCAACAAGGCTAGCGGCGTAGTCTAGACGACACCGGGCAGCAAAGTCAACCAACTCAGCGACCAGGGCAGACGCAGCAGAGGACTCAAAGGTAGGGTCAGTGACAACAGTGGCAAGGAGACGCGTGACAGTGGGACTGGCAGCACGAAGGGAGTCAGACTCCGGGTCAGAAAGAGTAGGAAGAGAGGACGCAGGAGGAGACGGCAGAGGGACACGCTGAGGAGCAGTGGAGGGATGCAGAGTCATGTAGTGAGTGCCAGGGACAGGAGGAGGACGCTCACGTGGGACACGACGACCAGTGCGAGCAGCACGAACAGGCGACGCAGAGCGAGACGCAGGTGACACAGGACGAGACTCAGGCTCACGACGCTCCGTAAGACCTCCTGTGGGACCAGTGTAAGGAGAAGGACCAGGGAGAGGCGAGGCAGGCGGTAACTGTGACTGCGACTGGACAGGCGGAGGACACTCTACAGAGGGAGGAGGACAAGGAGGAGGAGTCTGACCAAGAACCTGCTGAAGGAGCGGCACGAAGTACGGTCGCGGCCGCGCAGCGTCTCCAGAACCAGTAGAGACACCAGCGGCAGGGTCCTCAGCACCAGCAGCAGCTCCAACGCCCGGGTCCTCAGCACCAGCCACAGCGCCAACTCCAGGGTCCGCAGCACCAGCAGCAGCTCCAACGCCCGGGTCCTCAGCACCAGCCACAGCGCCAACTCCAGGGTCCGCAGCACCAGCAGCAGCTCCAACGCCCGGGTCCTCAGCACTAGCCACAAGCGCCAACTCCAGGGTCGGCAGCACCAGCAGCAGCTCCAACGCTCGGGTCCTCAGCACCAGCCACAGCGCCAACTCCAGGGTCCGCAGCACCAGCAGCAGCTCCAACGCCCGGGTCCTCAGCACCAGCCACGGCGCCAACTCCAGGGTCGGCAGCACCAGCAGCAGCTCCAACGCCCGGGTCCTCAGCACCAGCCACAGCTCCAACTCCAGGGTCCGCAGTACCGCCAGCAACAGCAGGACCGGCGGTACCAGGGTCCGCGACACCAGGAGTGCCATTCC